TTGATGGAGGGTATGTAAATACTCCATCTTTTCTTGCTCCATATCGGGGAGTTCGATACCATTTGAAAGAATTTGGGGCTGGACATCGAAGGCCGCAGAACCCAAAGGAGCTCTTTAACCACCGCCACGCACTACTGAGGAACCATGTGGAAAGGGCTTTGGGGGTGCTTAAGAAGCGCTTCCCCATTCTGAAAGTTGCCACATTCCACATGTTGGAAAATCAAGTAAAGATACCTATAGCTGCTTCCATCTTCCATAATTTGATCCGATTACTTCATGGAGATGAGGAATGGTTAGATCATCAGCCGGATAATATCCCTCCAAGAAACTTTGTTGTTGTACCAAGTGGTGATCAAATGAATGACCTAAATGTGGGTTCAGTACAAGGCAACGCTTTAAGAGACACCATCGCCCAAGAAATGTGGGTTCAGTACCAGCAACATTTAAATTAATCTTTGAATAGGCTGTAATAAGTTAATAAGCTTGTAATAAGCATGGATTGTAATTAAGCAGAGACTTCTTTTTAGTCTTTAAATTAGTCTTTGAATAGGTTGTAATAAGCTTTTGTCATGAATAAGCTTGTAATAAACTTGGCTTGTAATAATTGAATAAGCTTGTAATAAGTGAATAGGCTTGTGTCATATTTGACAGCGGTGGTCTATCCGTTTTGAGCACAATGGAAGTGACAAAGGAAGAAAAGGCAAAGGCATTTGCAGTGTTCATCAAGAGCAAAGAAAATAGAGAGGCCTTCCTAAGTGGTTGTGAACTAGATCGAGAAGCAACTTTGATTTGGCTCAAAAATACGATGGTCTAACAGGTCAGTCTACTTAATTGCTAAAAACTTTGATTTGGCTCATCTGTATAGTAGGCAAGGCCTACTTGGCTATTTTTTTAGTAGATAGGCGTAGCACTGTTCATTCAGTACCTATGAAGTGTAGACTTAAACAAAAGACTGATCTCACTTTTAGTTCAGGATATATTGACAGGAAGTAGTAGCTGCTGCTTCCCTTCTCAAATTGACGCTCACATTAGCTGTCTAATCAGTTGTTGTAGCCCAACTAATATTGGCCTTGGGAACATCAGTTTGTCACTAGTTGTCTGTTGTCACCATTGCGATTATATTTCCTTGCAGTTAATAATAATATGCATCATAAGTTATTATACATAATGTTGTTGTTGTTGTTGTTTATAACCTGGAACAAGTGATATGGGGTGGGCTGAGAAAACAAAGTCCTTTGATTTGGAGTGGGGTTGAAATGGGGTGGGTTTTAGTCAACTGCACTTGTTGTAGCTCATTCTAGGTCCAAGAAAGTGCTTGAATTAGGAGCTGCTTATGGTGTTTTTTTAATTATTGTGTCTTTGCCTATACATAAGGATGGAATTTTCTTTGTGGTTTAATTTCCTTTGTCTGCACTTGTTTTTGCTGCTTATGCTCCTTACAATCCAATGCCAGTTTTATTTGGTTTAGAGTTGAGATCACTACAGCCTAGTCTGTTCTCCATTTCAAGTCAGAGCTTTTTTCATGCTCATTAACACTTGCATTACTAGAAATCTTTTTAGGCCTGTCTTCAACATTGTAGCTGAGGGTAGCTGACGTTTGCACGTCACACAAGCTGCTGTAATTGACACACTAAAACTAGCCCGTTACAGCACCGTAGGACATGGTAGCTTTTGCTTGTTTTGTCCCCTCAACTGACTTGTTCCACTGGTGTTTTGGTTGCCCTGTTTGCAGGACCACTCTGGTGGGGATATGACTGCTGTGGTTGATGAGTGGAGCAAGTTCTGATGATGAAATAGAAATGATTGTAGGGACCCCTAGTCTTTTTGAAGAGATCGATTCTACTCAAGTATATGTCAAATTTCTGCTGTAGTGTCATTAAAGTTAAGTACCAGATGCAAACTACTGCCTGGTGGCTCCCAACTCCCAGTCACTCATATAGCATTACTCGATGTGGTGTTAACTTGAGCGGCCGATTACTCGTGCAGAGCAAACTACTGCACTTGTTGTGTTATTATGTCATCAGTAGCAAGATTTTTTTACAAGTGTTTGCACACGGAGGAGTATGGCTGAATGTGTGACTTTGCGTGCCTCAAGTACTAGACAGTTCAGTTTGTGTTGCACGTTCCTGGTATAGTCCTGGTTTGAAGCCTGTATTGCCGAACAATAATTTTTTTTATGTGTGGGAATTAAACCGGATGGAATGGCACCCAGGCCTGGTTTGAGTGACACGCACGGAACCACTCAAACCATGCCAGGTTCCGATCCTGGTCTGGAAGCATTCCGAGGTTGCCGAACGAGGCCTAATAGAGGATTCTTAACATGATCCACTCCTATTCCTGCAGCGCTATTATAAAATACTGCACGTATCTTGCAATGAAACATATAGCTTGTTGTCAGGTTATGGACGACGATTTATGACTCAAAAGATTTATTTCACGATCGCGTCATCCATTTCAATACGTCTTGAAATCATACTTTGTACAGCTGTTGAGCTTTGCCGTTTTACCTCGTATGAGCATGAGTGGAGAGTGGTGAATCTGGATCACACATACGGGACAGTAGTGACGATGTGAGAATTGTGGAAAGTAAAAAAAAAAGAATGTTCAGAAATACCGTTTTTTATTTCTATATTAGATATATGGCATGTTTATGATTTATTACAAAAAGGTGAAGCATTTTGAGCTTTGAGTATCTATTACTCAAAATATATTTGTATATGTTTTACATGTACAAAGAAGCGTGAATAGATTCCTATTTCACGTCCACTATTTACATAGACATTGTTTTTATATTATTTCCTCTAGATCCATAATTCAATTCGAAGAGTAACACTATCTCCAAAACATAACTTCCACAACTATTTTTTTTCTTATAACATAATATGTACTCCCTCCGCTTCTAGTATAGGGCCTTTTAGGATTTAGAAAAGTAAAACTTCATAAACTTTTGCCAATAATTACTCAAAGTATGTGTGAGTACATAAAAGTTGTATAAGGCCAGTCTCAGCGGGGGTTTCATCTCCCAGTTTCCAACACACTTATATTTTGGAAACAGTGCAGAAGAGTTTCATCCTCATGAAACTCTCTCTACTCCCATGAAACTTTTATCTTCTCTCTCTTCATCAAGACAGTGCCATATCAGCATATTTAATGCCCATGAAACTCTATGAAATCCCCATTGAGACTAGCCTAATTACATTTACATTTCATGTATCTTCCAGATTGATTTTGAAGCAATTAATGTGTATCATTGTAGGAGTGGTAGTCAACTTCTAATAAAGACTTATTCAAATCCCAATACACTTTATAAAATAAACAGAAGGAGTGTAAAAAATCAGAGCATATATAATCTATACATGTTGTCTTAGTGCCTTCAAACTAATATGTTTTGAAAAAAATAGATAATGGTCAAGCTTTTAAAACTTATTATACCTCACTCTCATCCAAATCGACAAGAACTATAGAACTAGGGGATCGATGACAAACTACGTAACCGATAGTGCCACATACACAGTGGCGGAGCCAGTCGAAAAAATGAGGTAGGGCAGACTACTATATACATATGCAGAACTTCACCGATATATCAGTCTATAACTATGTATGTGTACCACTATATCGTATATATATCGGTGTATCACGTAACATTATATTCTAATATGCAATAAACAAATGGTACGGTAGAAGATTGAACACGATTACCTTTCACATGAAAAGGACATAAGCAGAAGTTTTGTTCCATAGTGCAGATAATTAACCATGTCCATACATCAAATGGTCAAAAAAAGCATAAACAACCTAACCTAGCTCGACATAAACTAGACATTTCAATCGAAAAACCCAATAGTCCACATTTTTATCATCGTTATCCATGAATGTAATGAAAGAAAACATAAAGACAGGAAGGCTCGAGACTCGAGAGGACTCAGATAATTAAAATCAGTCCACCCCTAGTCTCCGCTGAATGAAGTTTTCCCTTCCAACTATCAAGTTTTTTTTCTTAACCGACCTGTCCTTGTTAGAAATATTACGGTGGTGCATAAGAATTCCCAAATATCTAAAAATGAAGATATACTGTTTTACACCCCAAGAGTTAAAAAAACAATTCACTTTTACAAAAAATGATTTTGAGGCCCGATGACTGTTCGAAAGCACATAGTACTAACTTCAAGTTTATGAATGTCATAAATATCACTATTAATTTTCACAAATTTAGTTAAAATTTAAAAATTATCTTAGGGCAACTATAGAAGCTGATTTATTTAAGGAGGGAAGGACTATTAAAAAGCTTCTATTATCATACTATAATTAATTCACATAAAATTGATGTGATAGTCTCATGCCTTAAATAACTGATGTGTGGAGGCTCTTTATTGGCCAACTATGAATAAGATGCTATAAAGATGAAACAGAGTGGCTACTCGTGTGTGCAGCCAGTGGAAAGCACTGTTCTTCTCGTGCTCAAATAACCAAGAAGTCTAGACTCCGACGGCATACAACTCCGACGGAGAAAGAGAAACGAGATCCATACGTGATAAGCTATTGGACAGGAAAAGTCTAGCTAGAACGACCCAACTTGAGTAGCAGAATATTAGGAGAAAAAAGTCTGGAACGACACACACCGATAAGCTGTGTGCCATGCGTGGGACCGACACCGAGACCGGCCGCCACCGAATGCCACCGCTCTTCCGGCCGCCGATCGAGTTGTCACGCAACGGCAACGCACGCACCACAGGCCGCCCACCTCAGTTGAAGCCCCCCGCGAAAAGGTAGCTAGCGAGACTGCGAGACCTAACAAAGAACCATCTTTGTTAGCTGCGCTCCAAAAAGCCGAAGAAGCACCACACATCACACGGAGACGACGGGACGCACGATCGGCACCCCATCTCCCTCCTACACACCTTTCCCTCCACCGAGACAGAGCGAGAGCTGCGGCCACTCTCTCTACTCGCTAGCAGCTCCGGCCTCCATCCCCTGCTCTTCTTCTTCCTCCTCCTCCAATGATGGGCTCAGCTTCGTCAGGTGAGCAACCAAGCAAACTCAGCTGGTCGATCGTACGATCGGATCAGGCCATTGTTACCATCTACCAGGTCCGCGATGATATGATTCGACGACATGCGCAGATGATCTCCGGGAGCACCTGCTGGACGTGGACGGCGTGGCCAACGGCGGGGAAGCGGCGCCCAAGATACGGGTGCGCGGGCTGCGGCGCCGCGCCGAGGCGACCGGCGAGGAGATCCTCCGGGGCGTCCACCTCGACGTGCCGCGCGGGGTCGTCATGGGCGTCATCGGGCCCAGCGGCAGCGGAAAGTCCACGCTGCTCCGCGCGCTCAACCGCCTGTGGGAGCCCGCGCCCGGCGCTGTGCTCCTCGATGGCGCAGACATCTGCGGCATCGACGTCCTCACCCTGCGCCGCAAGGTCGGCATGCTCTTCCAGCTCCCTGCCATGTTCGACGGTACGTCCGACTCTCCGGTGGCCATCTATACATCGATAAAGCTGTTTTTTTTCCTTGCTGCGCCGGAAACTCGAAATCAGTCTGTCCCTATTAATGCTCGATCTAATTGATTCATCGATGGCGCCAAGAACAGAAGGTTAGGTTAATTAATTTTCTAAGCACATGTATGTAAGTTGGCAGTGAGTAGACAGTTAGTGGCCAACTGTGATAAGCTATCCAGCTGACCTTTCTAGATGTTGAATAGGTCAACAAGGTCCCTGGTGATAAGCACTGTTTCTCCACTCAGACAACAGGGCTGTTCATGATAAAAGCATGTGCCATCACTCTGATGAGCACACCATGATTTTTCTTTTTCACATATACAATGCGAATTGTGTTTGTCCTCTACATCCTGAGATGCAGAAATAACCATCCTGAGCACATCATGCACGTGATGGCGAACCTGGAACTGGAAGGCAACTGCTAACCTTTAAACAAAGCTTGAACTATTGATAAATTTAAGTTGGGATGCCATTCAGATTTTTTACTTTGATAGTACACAACTAATTTATCAATCAACTGGTAGTTTTGACAGAGCATGAAATATTTTAGGATTGCTGAAGATCTGGTCTAATGTATTTGCCTGGATGTAAGGTAGCTAGATAGGTTTGCCTCTTTCAAATGTATATATATAAGGGAAAATTTATATAACTGTAAAATGCGCCGTAGTATTAAACAAGATTAGTGCTAGTAAACAATCGATTGTTTAAAGAAGAGCCAGCAAAAACAATTAACTTAATGAAATCTTCACAAACTTCAATTGACAAGCAAGAACTGATCCAATTTAAATGGACCGCGTGTCTAGTCGCTTAATGGTTCTTCATAACCATTTTGAGCACGTAACAACCTTGCTTTACACACCATACCTTTGACGCGCCGGTTAGATGCACACGAAACTCAGAGCACGTATCAATTCTATCCTGTTCATATTCTAACACAATAATTATATAGACGCTCTCTTATTTTGTCTCGCTGTAATAAACTTTAGTTATCAATTATTCTATATACTTTTCAATCTGTCATTGTTTGTAATTTTCTCCTTTGCCTCACCTCCAAGTGTTCTTGACATATATTTACTTTGCCATATTTTTCTAATTAACAGATGCTAGTAATTTGGATACAATATAGAGAGTTATTTTAGGTTATTAGCAGAGGTGGCTAATTTAGATGTAGATGTAGGAACTTACTTTATTTCATTTCTATAATGGTCCATATGGGTTACTTCAGGTTATTTCTAACAACGGTGAAGTTGACTAATGGATGCAAATTTATCGAGTTACTTTATATTTTTTAGTATTGTATAGGTAGATGATTTTAGATAAAGATCGACTAGAGGTCATGTTAGATAACTTTTTATTGTTGCAATGGAGGAAATATCTAGCATGCTCAAGCTCAATAAACATGTCCTTTTAGAATTGTGCATCATTGTTTGACAAAAATATTTATTTGTATATATATTTGAAACAATGCTAGTCTAAGTGTAGAATGAAGCCCATAACTTAAATTTAGTTCACCCACTCCACCCCACCCAAAAAACTCTTCCTTCAATCCGTTCCTATGTAGCCCAACGACTTAAGTTAAAAGAAAACAAAAAATAACTTCATGAACTGTGCATTCTGCGAGATCCAACAACACTTGCGTCCCACAAAGAAACTAAGTTCAAAAACCTAGTCTTGGATCATGAATTTTCCATGATGCACGGCTTGCGATGGCGGGCAATTCACACTGGCCTTTTGATCATAAACGACCGAGCTACAAGTGTAAGTGTTGAACTTTGTTGTATTTGTTACATGCTCTTTTAGTTAATAGAAACCATTAGATAATCATAAAAATATAATATTGTTTGAGAGACACAAGAATGGCCCGGAACAAACCTACCAATGTACGGAAGAAACACTCTGACTCTTAATATTATAAAAGATAATAGCATACAAGTGGTTAGGTCATGTTTAGTTCATATTAGTTTTCATAATGGTAAAGGTGGGTAACTTGTATATGGTTTTAGGGATTGCTTCACAGTATTTTCGTAGTGGTACAAGTGGTTAGGTCATGTTTAGTTCATGCTAATATTGCCAGGACATGTTAGTCATGTCATATTTTAGCTGTTTCATCTAACGCTATAATTATGGTGCACCATGCTTTGCTTTTCTAGTACCCTCGTATGCATCATAGATTTATTTTATTTTTTGAAAAAAGTGGCACAATGTATCAACAACATGATAAAGCTTATATTTATTTCTTGTCAAACTTAACTACAAGTATGAATCAATTTATTTAACATATTTTTTGTGGCAACCATTGTCTAAGATTAGTCAGGACAAGATTAGGCACAACCCCTAACTTTTTTTCTCATAACAAATCAGCATCAGCCGGCTTATCAACCATGGCACAGAGTTTTTCTCTCATAACAAATTAGCATCAGCCGGCTTATCAGCCGCAGAAACCATCAGCCGAACAACTCAGGTGGAATGTTTCTGAATGTTATTGTTGATGTCGATATTAGAGTCCGCTAATCAATGATTGAATGTTTCTGAATTTCCCCTAAAATTTAACATAGAGAGCCAGAAGTTAAATACAAAGTCAGCTACCTCTCAGAGGGTTTGTATGAATGCCCAAATACATATATCTATCCCAATCCATATGTGTTAGGTGGATTGAAATGAGATTTAATCTAAATTCCATCCGAACCCATCTCAACACGTGAATTTAGATGGATACATATGAATCAGACAATGCCTAAGCAGATTTATCTGATTTTTCCGCTGCGTGCTTTTGGCAGGTACCGTGGCTGACAACGTACGATACGGGCCACAGTTGCGCGGCAAGAAGCTCACCGAAGCCGAAGTGAAGAACCTGCTGAGCCTGGCGGATCTAGACCCTGCTCTGTGCTCCAAGTCGGCGTCTGAGCTGTCGGTCGGGCAGGCGCAGCGCGTCGCCTTGGCCCGGACCCTCGCCAACGACCCCGAGGCATGTGCACCGTCAGCTCTCTTGCTTCGTCTTCCTGACACTGTCCTCCACCATGACCGGCTTGCTGAAATCGATCGGTTGCTGCAGGTGCTGCTGCTGGATGAGCCGACGAGCGCGCTGGACCCCATCTCGACGCAGAACATCGAGGAGGCCATCGTGCGCCTGAAGAAGACGAGGGGCCTCACCACGGTGATCGTCTCCCACAGTGTGAAGCAGATCCAGCGGATCGCCGACCTGGTGTGCCTCGTCGTCGCCGGCGAGATCGTGGAGGTGCTCGCGCCGTCAGAGCTGTCCGACGCCAAGCATCCGATGGCCAGGCGTTTCTTGGAGCTCAGCAGCTAAAGCCTGGTTGCAGCTTCGTTGGATTCCATCTCCTCGGATGCTTTCTTGCTGCTGTGCGGGATGGAAAGGATCGGACGTGGTTATCTTTCTAATCTCCTCTGTTCGTGTATACCATATGTTAAAGTAGCTTCGACAGCTAGTGTATGTAAGGCTGTTGGCGGATTTGCTTTAATTTGTGACCACCCACACAGCCGAGGCCCACACATACGAATCAAAGCCCACCACTCCGCTGGATACACAGCCCATGACATAATTGTACTATACTCCGTCCGTTTCAAATTACAAGTCGCTTTGATTTTTTTTTTGCTACATATATTTTGCTATGTATCTAGATATAATAAAATGTCTAGATCTATAGCAAAATTAATGAATCAAAAAAGTCAAAACAATTTATAATTTGACACGGAGAGAGTATTTACTAATCTCCAAACTCTAGTGTTAGTCGTCTTTGCTTTTTTTTTTGTTAAGAAGGTACATGGCAGTAATTCTCTATTCATCTGAAAATATAATTATTTCTAGATTTTTCCCAAGTTAAAATATATCAACGCCTCAGGCACCTGGTTAGTATAATAAGGTTTAACAAAATACTAAATTTATGAAATAAGTATTCATGTAGCGTACTTATTTAGTTTAGTGTCACAGATGCTAATGAAAAAGTCAAACTTGTAACTTTGAAAAGCTTATAGACAAATGAACCATTGTGTACTCCATCAAACTAGTTTCAGCAAATTCTTCATAATGCCTTGACAGCGCATTTATTTGAAAGTGTAAACGTTAGTACATTTTCTTGATGCTTATAGACAAATGAACCATTGTGTACTCCATCAAACTAGTTTCAGCAAATTCTTCATAATGCCTTGACAGCGCATTTATTTGAAAGTGTAAACGTTAGTACATTTTCTTGAGAACTTAGTTGGAAAGCAGAGAATTTTGGTACAAAGCTGAACCGACCTATAGTTTGAAACAGAGCAAGTAATTATTGGGAACGCTAGCTAGTCAGCAAAGACCTCCTCTTTGAGCTGAAAGGTCTTGGTGAAGAAGGCTGGCCAGCAGAGGAAGGACGAGACGATGCTGCTGACGGTGGAGGCGGCCATGAGCATGTTCTTGAGGACGATCTGCACCTGGATGGCCTCGAGCGGCGACGCGCCCGCCATGATGAGCCCTGTCATGGCGCCCGGCAGGTTGATCACGCCCTGGGTCTTGGCGTTGTCGATGCCGGGAGACAAGGCGATCTCCTGCGACGTTCTTATCTGCTGGAGTGTGGCCTGACGTGGAGTAGCACCCAGAGCAAGTGCCGTCTCAACCTGTAGAAAACAGAAGACAGAAATGTATGTGACATTGCGTATCTGCAACTGCAAGGTTACAATGATCATACAAAAGTTAGTATTTCTTTCGGAAGATGCTGTCGTTTGAGGTAGTTTGGTTTCGGTCGATCAGTCTGGTCTGCTAGATCCCAGTCGTATGGTGCGCTTTCTTTCTTCTTTCTAACAGACTCTTGTCGCCCTCCGTCTGCTTCTCTCCAAAGGCTCCGTTCGCGTGCTCTTAAACCCGGCTTGATCCATTTCTTTTTTCATCCGAAATGGTGTTTTTCTCTCACAAATTCCTCCAAACCATCCAAATTTCTCCAGAATTCCTCCAAACGAACGGACCCAAAGACTGCGAGTTGTGACTGCACGCTCGCGTCGTCTATCTACGACGGTCATAAAAAACGGTGCACAGCCTGATAGGAAAAACAAACTGAAATATAAAGTGTTTTTTCCCCACCATTCTACATTTCTACTATTCCCGTATGAGTTTAAGGGCCTGTTTGGTACAGTTTAACTTCACTAGTGAATCGGCCTTTGTTGGTTTTGGTTCCAAAAGCGGCTTTACAGGTAGAGCTGAATATGTTTTCATAAACGTTTGGTAAAACAACTTCTCAAATAAGTTAACAGAGAGAAAATTTGGGAGAGGCCATGTTTTGAAAGAACCTGTTTGGTAGGAGAAGCTGAAAACAACTTTGTAAAGCTGGAATAGAATTCCTACCAAACAGGCCCTAAGTGCTGAGGCATGGTGCGGCGGTCGAAACCAAATTCCCAGCCTTCAGCCACCTCTAACAAAGCTCTAGTAATCTTTCCGGCGACCTCACTGGCGAGCTCTGATGACTGCGCTTGCTTTCCATGGAACTTGCTGAAGTAACTCTCCGTGCATCACTCTGGTGCCCACCGGCAAGCTCAGAAGTAAAAACACTACACCATCAACTTCTCTCAAATCTTTTTAAAACTGTCCTAACTTCAAATGTGCTCCAATGAATACAATTTCTTTAAGAATTAAGCTAGCATTTTCAAAACATTTTCACTTGCTTTTTCGCCACATCACTAGACCTAATGCAAAGGCAAAGTAAGTCATCACCTACTAGCACTAGACAATGCTTTAGAATTCCCATCTTAATAGTATGGCTATCTATCTTAAACTAGACCGTGCACTCTACCGCACCTTGGAGGACGAAAACAAAATCTCTATGCATATTCCTTTGCCTTCATCAAGCTTATTTTCATCTCCATCCATATCTTCTCTTCATATTGAGCATATGCACTATTGTCTTGATCATCTCTACCACCTCTTAGCCTTGCTCAACTCATTCATGTCGATCTAGTTCAATCATCTCCAATGAAAGCATCAATCCACTAATTGTCACTCAATTACTAAAACCAAACTAAAGCTCTTAGCATTGTGCTTTGTACTAGACCAAAACAAGTTAAGGTCTTGTTTGGATGGACTAGGGCTAATTGTTAGGTTCGACTAAAACATTCCCAGCTCTTCATATCTCTCCTCCCTCACTCAGCCCCACTTCTTCCCTTTCTTCTCCCATACACAAACTTTGCTCAACTCTCTTCTCACCCAACTGGCAGGCCGAGGATGATAGCGACCGAGGCTGAGGCAGGCCAGAGTGGGGATAGTTGAGGCTGGCGCAGGGCATGCGAGGCCAGCGCAGCGGCTTGACATCGGGGCCATAATCGTGGTCGGCGTGACAAACTAACTCTAGGGACAACAAATCAAGGTTTGTATAGGCAAGTAGATTATGTGGGTTGGGGCAGATTCCATCGGCACAGTAGTGGCCGATTAGATGTATCCTATCGGGCGAGGATGGGGAGCTTGCTCGAGCAGCCATGGAGCCCACCACGCTACGAGAGAGCTCACTCATCGATGGGCATGATCCATCTTTCGGCCTCCTCCCGTGCTAGTGGTAGTGCGACAGTTTTGGGTGTCACGACACTGCGAGTCAATGAGGTGGGCCATGGCGATGATCGTAATGAAGGTCATGGCAGGCTTGGCGGTAGACATGATGGTGGTCTCGGTAGCCATGGAGGCGCCATCCTCAGCCACACGGCGATGCTACAGCAGCCACAAAAGCATGATGAGCTCGAACGACAACGGGAGAGAGAGGGGGGAGGTTGTTGGGAGGGTAGGAAAGACTTTTTGTCAATATATGTAGCACTTTTAGCCCTTGTTAGATGGCATGGGCTCGCTGTCCGACATGCTTGTTTAGCCAACACGGCACAACTAAGGGGCCACAGTGTCGTGCCTGGACTGAGAGTCGGCACGACGTGTCAACATATACGACACAACATGAATAAGGCATATTGTCTCAACGAGTAGTGGCTATTTGTGCTAGTGTTGTGCCACTCATTTGGCCACCATTTATACCTGCTTGGATGGAGTAGAGCTAATTTTTAGCTGCTAATTACTAGCTCATGCGAGCCAAATAGGCCCTATGTTTAAGATTATAATGTGACATTCATTCAGTTTCTTAGAATGACTATATGTTGTGCTGCTCTAATGTCATGAGCTAGTCATAACTAGTATTGAGGTTCTATTTGGATCCATAGAGCTAACAGCTACTCCCTCCGTCCTATAATATTAGAGATGCAGACTTCCACAGCTCAAAATTTATACTAAAATATAAGGTATTATGGATCCTCAACCTCTTCTCTCTCCTCATCTCCTCTAATTTTTTTTGCAAAAATATTGATATTTCTTTTAAACTTTAGGATTATCCAAATTGACCGACATTAATTAAGAAAATAGTAACTACATCCTCTATCCTAATTAGTGAGGAAAAGATGGTCTTTTGTTAGATTTCTTTTTAAAGAATCACTTATTATAAGCGGTAATGCTACAAATAGGACGTCCGACGCCGGACTCCCCTCCGAACGCGTGGCGTGACATGCACCACAACTTTACCTCACTACCGCACGCGCCGTCGCCTAAATAAATAAACAAAATCAAATCCTAGCCACCTCGCCTTGCTCCACTTCGCTCCGCACGCGACGCCTACCCAACGAGCTCATCTCTCTCGTGCTTCCATGCTGCTCTGCTCTCCCTCTCTCTCTCGCTTGCCCACCCCGGCGCGTGCCCTCTCCCACCTCGGCGTCCTCGTCCCCCATCCCGACGGCTCCTTCCCCACCCCGGCGGCTCCTCCCCCCACCCCGGCGTCCTCACCCACTAGAAGCCCCCAATGCCGCAGATCCGGTGGCCCTCTCCCCCACGCTAGAGAGATCCATGGAAGTGGTGGCGGGTTGTTGGGGGGAGGGCGGCTCCCCCCCTAGCTGGCGCCCTCCCCACCCCCAGGCGCCTCTCTCTCACCCGCGCGACCGAGCTCCCCCACCCCAGCCGGCCATGGCTCCTCGCTTCCATCCGCCACCGTCTCACCATCGAGCCAAGCTTTGATCACGTTCGCCGCACGACCGCTCGCCGCCACGTCGATCTCCGACCCCGACGACCGAAATCGACCAGCCCAGCCTTCCCCTCCCATGTGTTGCATATATATGTTTCAAGTGTTTCAGGCGTTTCAAATGTATGTTGCAATTATTTCATATTGATGTTGCAAAAGTAGATCGGGGGGTGTTGCACATGTTGCATATGTTGCAAGTGTTTCAGAGGCATGTTGCAAGCGTTTGTTCAAAATGTTTCATCTATTTCCAGGCGTATGTTGTAATCGTTTTGATCTGGATGTTGCATATGTTTTCACACATATGTTGCAACAATATGTTCCAAAATGTTTCATCTGTTTTAGTCTTCTGTTACAGCAAGTGTTTTTATGTTACAAGTTGCAAGTGTTCTCTCTAGATGTTTCATATGTTTTCACACATATGTTGTAAGTGTAAGATCCAGATGTTTCATCTGTTCTAGACATATGTTACATTCAAGCGTTTCTTGTTGCACGTGTTTCATGCTATTCGGAGCGTCAGGAGGCGCCGGGGAATGGGGCGCGGTGAGTCGGTGGCTGGAGTATGTGGCGCACGGCACGCTAGGGGTTGATGGTCGAGGGCACGATGGGGTGGGGGGTGCGCCTGCCGGGCCGGGGCATACGAATGGGGATGGGGACGGGGTGCGTGGATGGGGTCAGGTCAGGCGTCGGGGCGGGCATGTCAGGTGTGTGGACAGGCATACATATAAGCATGGTGAGGTGCAGAATTTTTTTATTGACATATTAACGTTTCAGAAGGAATTTGCACCGTCCGACGCTAAGCGCCCGGACGTCCAACTCCGTATTATAAGAGGACAGATGGAGTTGCTAACTAATTTTTAGTTACTAAAGATCATGACTTGTTATTAGTTCAGTGGTCATTGAGTAGTTGTTAGTCCGGTGGTCCAAAAAAGAGAGTTAGCAGGACTAGCAGTCATAATACTCCAAAGAAAATCGTCACTGAATGCGAATAGCCTTGACCCAAAGTCATAATACTCCTACTTTCAAAAAAAAAAGTCATAATACTCCAAAGAAAATCGTCACTGTACGTGCAATGTTGAAATAAGAAGAGTAGGGCAGTCTTAATGGGTGATTAGGACGATTTTTCATAGCATAGCATTTTAAGATACCAAGTAAGAAAAATAGTGATGTAGTAATGAAATTAAAGAGTTGAGATAAGGAAATGATTTCTTATGCAAGAAACTATATTTACACGGAAATTAAGATAGGAAAATGTACGTCGATGATACAAGAGAGAAGACCGTGAATTGGCCATAAAATATTTTTTAGAACTATTCATGTGTGAATATAATTTCTAGCTTGAAATTTTCATGTTTTTTAATTGGGACTGGTACTTCTATTCCTACCAAAACGTACCCAATGGATATGATGGGGGCGATAATTAAGGGAAAGAAACAAGCAGCAAGTAGTGCCATGCCAAACTGTGAGGGGGTTCGGAGCTGACCAGATTCTTATGAGTCTTGATGTCCTGCTGGAGCTGCTTCATGGCGACTCCAGTGACGGTCATGGCGTTGCCGATTACCATGCCGGAGATGGGGATGATGTATTGCGGGGTGAACGGGAAGACTTTGAGCAGGAGGAGCAGGATCATGGTGGTCCCCGTGCCGACGAGGATGGACACGAAGGCGATGTGCTTCCCGCGCTTGCCCGCCGTGTAGCTGGCCACCGTCAACTGTGTGTGTCATGTTGTTCGTTATGAAACTGGATTAGTCATCAGATGATGCATCTTATTAGGGATGAAACTTTCCTGATCCATGGACGAAACCAAGAACACATCAACTACGTTAGCCGTTACGTACATACCATGAAGAGGTATGTGAAGAGGATCCAAGGTGTGGCGTTCTTCTGGACGAAGATGAAGTGGAGGACGAAGCCGATGAGGAGGAGCTGCACGAAGGAGCGCGCGACGGCGTAGAGCGTCTCGCCCTCGATGCCCAGGCGCTGCGTGAAGCTGAGCATGACGGCGAGGGCGACCACGGCGGTGGACGCGGCCGGCTTGACCATGCCCACCAGGAAGTCCCGCCAGAAGCCTGGCTCCCCCAGGTCCGGCTGCCGCGGCGGCGGCGCCAGAGTCGTCTGCTCCAGCAGCGCCGTCGCGAGCTCCATCATATCTTCAGGCTTCAGCTACTACAGTCCACAGCCAAGGACCTCCTCCACAGCTAGCAATGCTTTATAGAAAGGAAGTGAAGATAGATACGTACGGACAGCTAGCTGCTGCGTGTTATTAGACATGCATGAAATGTTTATACAAGTATGGTTTCATGAATGTGACTGTTCATGGTCGTTTTTCTTTTTCGAAAACCTACGTTCCTATCGTTTTCGCGGCAATATTGTGCGAGGGTTGTCAGCCAGCACTAGCTACTTCATATTTTCACCACCGATGCATCATGCATACAACAAAGACAAGATTGGGTGATGAACGTATGCTCCGCACTCAGCGATCCAAAAATAGGTCGCCACTTAAATCAATCACCACGCACCCACTGCGCGCTGCAGATACACACATACACCCGTGCCATATATCTACCGGCATAGATGACACTAGTGCAGGCCCAACTAACCGTGTCACCTAGTGGCCATTGCGGGATGTGTATGGGCCTAGGGAATATGCCGGCAGTTTACTAAGGCACATACGTTACGACTTGCAAGTGAATGGGGCCGGTGCGTACCGCGTCCCACCATATAGACAAAAATTCAAAATAATACGGGAGGCGTACTTGACTAGCAATATGGAGCAATTGCATTGCAGCTGAGTGTGAGGGACCTCTTGATAACTTTTTCTAAAAGAAGAGGTAATTATACTAAAACTCAGCATAATGTATGTCCAAATTGCAAACGAAAGAATCTGAAAAAAAAAGAAACAATATTCTATTCAAGTCCTTCCACCGTCTTCTTCATAAAGGTTTCCGTCGATGGAGCCGACGATCTAGACAGGCCTGGCCCTAGGACAGGGCGAGAGGGGCAGCCGTCCTAGGCCCAGAGAGCTGATGGGCCCCTTCCCATGTATTCATACATTACTACTGTTCAGTATATATCAGCCCATACGCTATACGCAGGCTGGGCATCCAGCAGCGACTCGTCTCCGTGCGAGGACGCGAGACGCTTCGACACTGCCGGTCAGCAATTGTTGGACTTCCTCTCACCCTGCGGCTCTGCACTCTGCACTATTACTTTTACATTCAGTTATTAGTAATGTTTTGTATATATGTGTATATATACTAGCAATGAGCAGTACTAGTAGCATTTTCATATTTATATAAAAGATCCAAAATTTTAGTTTCCTTCTAGGTCTAAAAAAGTATTTTAAGTTTGGTAAAAAAAATTTGTTCTAGGTCAAACTATTTTAAATTTGATCAAATCTATAGAAAAAACACTAATATTTATGACAGTAAACCAAGATCAATAATAAGTACTCCCTTCGTCAAAAAAGAAATGGAAAAAGTCTACTTAATTCCCCACCTTTCATACTTGGTCTACTTCACCCCCAATTATGAAACCGTCTGTTTTACCCCCTGAACTTTCTAAAACCGTCTATTTTACCCCCTGGGCGGTTTCCAGCGACGGTTTTGCTACAGTAACAGCAGGTTTGCTACAGTACTGGTGGTTTGAATTTCCTTTTTTTTATTTTCGGTGAATCTTTGAAAAATCACAGTAAATAATAGAAAATCAATAAAATAAAAAATCTAATTTTGTTGGACTCCACATGAGTAGATCTACATAGTGAATATCGAAACGGTTGCTTTAGTACAACGGCCTGGTCAACCTTAGATTAAGAAAATCTAACACGTAATTAATTGGAATAATTCATCTGAGCTTCTATGGTCCAATTGTGGTAGAAATTTTTTTTACGCTAATTATTATATGCTTGAACTATAGTAAAAATTTATAACTCATATGACTATGTATAACTTAGTTATAGATAAATTCTAATGCCCGCGCGGTAGATAAAATTGGATTTTCCAATTAATCTAAAGCACAAAAAAATTGTAGTAAAGCATGCCGTATTATATATTCCCCTGTAGATCTACTCATGTGGAGTCCAATAAAATTAGATTTTTCATTTCATGATTTTTCTATGATTTACTATGATTTTTCAAAAATTCACCGAAAATAAATAAAAAAAAGAAATGCCTCCCAGGAGATAAAATAGACGGTTTTAGACGGTTCAGGGGGTAAAACATACGGTTTCATAGGCAGGGGGTGAGGTAGACCAAGTATAAAAGGTGGGGGGTTAAGTAGACTTTTTCCAAAAAAAAATGCTAAGGGCATGTTTAGTTATAAAATTTTTTTTTTAGATCAGAAAAAAACTTCGTTTGTATTTGGCAATTAGTGTCTAATTATGGACTAATTAGGCACGAAACCGGCTCACATTTCTGCCCACCTGTGTAATTGTTTTTTTTTCATCTACATTTAGTACTCCATACATGTGCCGCAAGATTCGATGTGATAGATACTACACAAAATTTTTTAAGTTTTGGGTGGAACTCAACAGGCCCTAAATCTATTTATCACCAAGTGATTCTCGGGTCGTCTCACTCGATGATTTGCGTTCTCCTGCGCCGTAGGGCCGTAGCTGGCTAGTGCCCGCGCGGTAGGAGGCAGGCTCAGCATCCCGGTCACACTGCCCACCTCGACCCCTGTGCCTGTTGCCTAGTACTAGTACGTACTCAGTAGAATAGGCAGGCTTAGCAGCACAGAACCGGCCACATCTGCCCACCTCGGCCTTTGTGCCTGTTGAATCAGTACCCACTACTCCACTAGGCCCTACCATGGATGTGTATATGGACATGCAGATTTGTTTCTTTAATAGGTACATGTTACATCTTATTAGACTATATTTTAATATTTGTGTTTTGGTGTAAACTCTGTGTATAATGGGTGTAAATTGATTATTCGTATATGAGAATGGTCAGGATTATTTGAAAAATTATCTGATTTTTTTGGTTTTTTTATTTTCTTTTCTGTATGTTTTATTTAGTTCTCCTTTGAATTTTTTCAATTTGGCTTCCATATAAATAATTTGGCTATTTTTTTGGTTTTTTATTTTCTGTATGTTTTATTTGGTTCTCCTTTGATATTTTCTAATTTGGCTTACATAGAAATAATCTGGCTATTTTTTTTTATTATTTGGATAGTTTTTTTTTTGTCTATTTGGTGTAGATCAAGGGTCATGAAAATCATGTGTTTTGTGGACAAGAATCACTCGATTTTTATTTGTTACCAATCGGGTGACGGCACGGCGTCCAATACTCGAGTGTGACGGCCGTCAAAATCACTCGACCGATGGGTAGACAGACCCAAAAGAAAGACGTTTTCAAGAAAAGTCAACTCTTTTTTAACTTTAGCCAAGTATATATAAAAAATGTTAATATTTATAATATATAATTAGTATCATTAGTTAAATTATTGAATATTTTTATAATAAACTTATTTAGAGAGATCAATGTTGCTAATATTTTCTATAAATCTAATCAAACTTAAAAGAGTTCGACCGGCACATATCTCATACTTGTCTTTTTTTTTGGGACGGATAGAGTATATTATGAAATATATATTTACTAAACTAATATTAGTATATACAACATCAAATATATTTTTATAATATATTTATTTGATGTCATAAATAATTTTAAATAATTTAATTTTTAGTAATTTAGAAGTTAATTTATTTTAAGACAGAGGCAGTACAGAAACAGAAGACTCTCTGGTGCTAAGTTACGTATCATGCACCAGCTGAGCTGGGCAAAATATCCTTGTCTTTCAGTAATCAAATCGAGCACACATACAATCCTGATAAAGAGCACGAGAACTACTAGGGCCGCGCACCCATCGGGTGCTACAAAGCAACTGCACGTCTGCTCATTTTATCTTCTTCTCACTCTCTCAGTCTCTGTCCTCTGAAATCTCCACTCCAATGGCCTCTTCAGCTTCAGGTCAGCAACCACCCAAATCGAAGCACCAGCAAGTCGAGCTTATCATCTCCAGCGCGACGGCGGGTCGCTTGTTCGATGAAGAAGACGAGGCTAAGGAGCTCCTGCTGGACGTGGTGCACAGCCTCGCCGACGCCGGCGGAGGTGATGGGCCGGCGGCGGCGCCCGGTACCGGCGGTAGGCCGCCGCCCAAGATACGGGTGCGGGGGCTGAGGAAGCGGGCGGCGTCGACCGGCGAGGAGATCCTGCGCGGCGTCCACCTGGACGTGCCACGCGGGGTCGTCATGGGCGTCATCGGGCCCAGCGGCAGCGGGAAGTCCACGCTGCTCCGCGCGCTCAACCGCCTCTAGGAGCCCGCGCCCGGCGCCGTGTTCCTCGACGGCGCCGACGTCTGCCGCCTCGACGTCCGCGCGCTCCGGCGCAAGGTCGGCATGCTTTTCCAGCAACCCGCCATGTTCGACGGTACGTACGAACGTATACTCCTGCCAGTACACGCTAGACGGCTAGAGACGGACTTCGTTCATTCTTTTTCTCTGCCAAACAAACTGCGGCCTTTTCTTCAACCAAGACGAAGTGCACGAACACGTGGACCGTACGATCGGGGACGAACGCTTATGATCAATTGTTCAAGAGCCCAACCGATGACTTTTATTAAGAGCTTCTTGCATGATTTTTTTTAAAAAGAAAATGTTCAGCACACTTAATACCCACGACTTTTGAAGCATGATGCCAGAGTTCATGGCTTCAGGCTTCCTCGCTCTAAGACTAAATTTAAGTCCGTTAAAGTTTGTTCTAAATAAATAAATAAATAAAAATAAACCTTGTCAAGTTATATTTTAAATGAAAAGAGTTACACATTATGATTTTTTAATAATCTTAATAATGTGGATCTTGTGTTGTAAATCCACGTAAGTTTTTAGGTGTAAATAGTCAAAGATGAAAAAAAACTAAATTGACTTGATTCTGATCGAAGAAAGTAACATCACCAAAAGTTAGCAAAATGAAAGTGTCCGGCTTTATAGTTTGTACCACTCTGAGGATGATAAAATCAGGCTATGTGTCCAATTTTACAAGTACAACTTACTTGGGCCTTATTTAGATTGAAAGAAATTTCAACCCGATGAATAGTAGCACTTTCGTCTTATTTGGTAAATATTGTCCAATCGTGGACCAACTAAGCTCAAAAGATTCATCTCGTGATTTCTAACTAAACTGTGCAATTAGTTATTTTTTTTACCTACATTTAATGTTCCATGCAAACGGCTAAAAATTGATGTGATGGAGAGAGAGTGAAAAAACTTGGAATTTTGAGGGTAACTAAACAAGGCCTTGTTTGTGATGTCATATGGGTTTTCGGTACACATGATGAAAGAGAAAATTGACCGGTACGAATAAAATTTCTTGCTTCGAAGATGGCAATGGCGGACTCGGATTTCTAGGTTTGAAACTGGCATCATTAGCTAAAGGACGGTTTTGACGGGGCAAACCATGGTTACATAATTCAGGAGTGATGTGGCTTTGACGTAGTATGTTACGTAGCTTTGAATGTAAGCTTGTATGGTTATTATTGTTTAAGCCTCTCGATAATTCCCATAACGGATTTCTCCAAAGAACATAGCGGTGCAGAGAGAAGCAAACAACTACTCTCACTGTTCCAAATTATAAAGTGTTCTGTCTTTTCTAAATAGATAACTATAATTGTTATATATCTAGAAAAGGTAGAACGACTTATAATTTAGAATAGAGGGAGTACATACTAAAATCGTTGTAAACTGTGTGACGAGCAAGACTTGATGTCCATTTTGGAATTTATTTGGGCTTTACCACGGAAAAACGCGTATCCCACGATGTCTAATTTTTGTTATGTTTCTGTGTGTGCTATACTAGGAACTGTGGCATACAACGTGCGCTACGGGCCACAGTTGCGCGGCAAGAAGCTCACCGAAACCGAGGTGCAGAGCCTGTTGAGGCTGGCCGACCTCGACCCTACCTTGTCCTCCAAGCCTGCCAACGAGCTGTCCGTCGGCCAGGCGCAGCGCGTTGCCTTGGCTCGCACCCTCGCCAACGACCCTGAGGTGCGCGCGCTCAGTCACTTTGTCGTCGTCGCCGTCCCGTCCTCCATGGCGCTGTCGATATGATCACCTTTGTCGCTGGATGCATGTAGGTGCTCCTGTTGGACGAGCCGACGAGCGCGCTAGACCCTATATCCACGCAGAACATCGAGGACACCATAGTGCGTCTGAAGAAGACGAGGGGGATCACCACGGTGATCGTCTCCCATAGTGTGAAGCAGATCCATCGCATCGCGGACCTGGTGTGCCTTCTCGTCGCCGGCGAGGTCGTGGAGGTGCTCGTGCCGTCAGAGTTGTCCAGGGCCAAGCATCCCATGGCCCGACGCTTCTTGGAGCTAAGCTGAAGATTGATCTGAGCAGGTGGAAATATATATACTATCTGATTGATGTATGCGAAATATGCGTCATCAACAGAAACAATACGATATATATTATTGCTGCGACATACTCACTATCATAATCTTGAATTACTTTGACTGCTAAAGATTTCCTTGAGGGTCTAAATAAAACCGCCAAGGAAACGCTTGGCTGCGGACATAGACCTCAAGGAAATGGATATTCTTGAGTGCTAAACCAAACCACCAAGGTAATTTTAAGTTTTCTTGATTGTTGTTACAAACCGCCAAGGTAAATGTTCATTTCTTTGTGTGTTATTCAAAACTGTCAAGGTAATCCGTATTTCCTTGAGTGCTATTCAAAACCACCAAGGTAATTCATATTTTCTTGAGTGTAATTTGAAATCCCAAGGAAATTCTCATAGCTTTAAAATTTCTTTTATTTGAATTTTTCAAATGACCTCAGATGGAGATATGATCTAAACCAAAGTTATAGTATTCGACGAGATCTAAAACATTTTAGTTCAAACTTTTTACATTTGAAATCGTTTAGCATCTCAAATTTTCATTACAAAATTCAACAAAGTGAATACAAAAGGAATAAATAATTCAATTAGGATTTTTGACTAAAAATCCATCTTAGGATGTTTGTCTCAAATATTCATTACAAGATCTCAAAAAATAAAACTTCTTTGGATGTTCGTCTTTAAAAATCCATTTACAGATACTCCCTCCATCCTGAAATATAGCGTATTTTAATTACCCTAAGTCAACTTACCTTATGTTTGACTAAAATTATAGAAAAACATATTAACTTGTACCACATAAAAAAGGTAGTTATTAAAAATACGTTCCATAATGTTTCTAATGGGGCTTATATGATGTAAAAAACATTATTGCTCTATTCAATAAATTTGGTCAAACTTAAGATAGATTGATTTAATACACTATATATTAGGTATTTTAGAGACAAAAATCACTAAGTGTCTTTAGAACAATGATACTTTTCAACTGTTTATGTAAATAAAAAAGGTTGTATTCTGAAATAGATTTTAATTGCAATTTGAGCTAGGTCGGTTTCACCTGTAGTTAAGTGAGGTTTGACATGGGCTGGATGGATTGTGGATTGTTCTTGCCAAGAAGTGCTAGTCGGGCTTCCTTTGTGAGGGACTTTGTCTGGTCCTACCAAAGGTCCTACCAAGAATGTGTTTTGTCGTGGTAAAGACAAAACAAAACATCTCAAATCAATTTCGTCACATAGTGTATAAGTGAAGTATTGTCTTTCATAGAGATGCAAGTGGGTTTATCTATGAACCAAAAATAAATTTTTTTTGGGGTTCATGGAATACCCACTTGCATCCCTATTTTTTCATATTGAACGCAATAGTATGTAAGGTCTCAATCTAATCATTCTTCCAAGTTTTTTTTACTTGATCTAGACCACTATAATCTTGATCAGTTAATGAAATGTGGCAATCCCTCTCAGGATTCAAAAGTACAATAAGAGCGTGGCACTACGCCAAAAAACACACAAACAAGACACTACATCAAAGATGGGCCAACAACGTGTGTCTCTAATGACTAATTAGAGAAGGAGCTCAACCGTACAAGAGGGAGTGGGGAAGATGGAAGAAGATGAGTGAGGAATGGCATGTGGACCCACATACTAGGTCCATACTCATCAGCCATGCATGCGGTTTATTGCAATCAATGATAATTTGGACCTCGTGTCACCAAATGGGCATGTTGGGGGATCTGGATCTGTAGTTTTGAAAGATAGAAAATTATATGGCACCACCGTGTAAGTTTAGTTATCTCGTGTGGCTCATTTAGCAAGTTTGGAGACTTAGATACATATTTGAAAGTTTGGAATCTAGACGGCATCACCGTAAAATTTAGGTCACGGAACCAACATGTTAGATTCACGTCAACATTGAGTTAGCATGCCATGCTGACGTATAGAGCAGATCGAAACCCATTTAGACTAGTGCTGGAGTCCAGGATAAGTTTAAGGACCTGAAAATCAAAAAATGAAAAGTTTGAGACATGTATGACACCACCTCCCAATTTAATTTGTGGACTGCAAGTGTATTTTAGTCTTATTTTTATCTTTCATTTGAGGATCTACAACTTTGGCTAGATTCTTATATGGGCATGTTGGGGGTGCGGGGCAATTCCCTGAATATTCCTACACAACCATCCTATGGAGGCTATAAAAGGAGGAGACCCCCTCTCCTCAGACAACAACATCCAAGGAAGAGCACCTACCACACTTGAGCATCATTCCAAGGCCTAGGTCATAGCTAGCTAAAGTTAGTCATAGGGAGAGATGTGAGGGAAGAGTACGGGGAAGTACTGGACTTGTCGGTAGACTCCCCAAGCTTGTACCTCGATGAACACCTACTATTGTATCTCAATGGGATCTTCCTCTAGTAAGTGTTTGTGATTTTATGGTTATAAGTCTTTTGATTAGTTGAGATTTACTCTTATTTGCTTGCGGGTTCATCGTCCGCTCTCATAGCAGATATTCTAGTAAAGGGCCCTGATAAAGACAGATAACCTTGTGCGACGCTAGAGTAGTAGTCGATAGCGTAGATGTGGTGTCTAGGCAAAACTTACAAAAATAAGACTAAAATGTCGGATAACTTGGGATGTGGTGTCATACATGTGGCACCACCGTGTAAGTTTAGTTATCTCGTATTGGTATCAAGTTGGGAGGTGGTGTCGAGACTAAAATACACTTGGGAGTTTAGTTATCTTTCACGCGACAAAACAATACTGTGGCGTGACAAGACTCAAATTTCAAAAAATAGAAAACCCTTCAATACGATGTCGGATGAAGATAATTTTTATATGTAAATTGTAGACCTCGATGAGATATACAACTTTATAGTTTTAATTTTTTTTTCATTTGAGGACAATAAGATGCTCGAAAAAATAATATAAAATTTCAGCACCATAATAATCGCCTACTATCGCTTGCCGCATTAGAGCACTAATATATTATTTGTATGGAGTTAAATGAAAATATTTTTTATACTAAAGTTGTAGCTCTAAATGAGATCTACAACTTTGTAGTTTTGAGTTTTTTATTTGAGGACGTTAAGATGCTCAAAAAAATAATATAAAATTTCGACGCCTCCCTAAATATCAAAAGTTACTGTTCATACACCAAAACCGCCCAGAAACCAGCCCAGGGTTGAAAGTTGAACGGTTTCAAGAGTTTGAGGGCCAAAGTTATCCGATTTTGGAGTTCGAGGTTGAAATCCGGACTTTGGCGAGAGTTTTGTACTTTACCCTATTTTAAAAACAGCAACGTAATATCCTGGGAGTGTCCTTATACTTGATACCAATCATTAAGCACGCTAGTCATCTCAGAAGACTTCTTCTTTAAGCTGGAAGGCCTTGGTGAAGAAGGCTGGCCAGAAGAGGCACGACAAGCAGATGCCGCTGACGGTGGAGGCGGCCGTGATCATGTTCTTGAGGACTATTTAATTTGCAGCTGGACTGCCTGCAGCGGCGACTCACCCGCCATGATGAGCCCTGTCATGGCTCCTGGCAGATTGATAAACCCCTGGGTCTTGGCGTTGTCGATGGCCGGGGACAACGCGATGCCCAACGACCTCCTCATCTGCTGGAGCGTCGCATCGCGTGGCGTCGCACCTAGAGCAAGTGCTGTCTCCACCTGCAGAAAAGAGACAATAAACAAGATTTGTAAACATTATTTTATTTGCAATTGCAAAGTGACACGATCGATGATCATACAAATTAGGCAGGAATTAGGCAAGGAAAAGACATAAGCAGCACGTCGCCAGGCTACGACAGGGTTCGAGCTGACCAGGCTCTTCTGGATCGATCTTGACGTCGTCGCGGAGCTTCTTCATTGTGACTCCAGTGACGGTCATGGCGTTGCTGACCATCATGCCGGCCGCGGGGATGATGTACCTCGGGGTAAACGGGAAGACGTCGAGCACGAGGAGCAGTGCGATGGTGATCACGGTGCCGACGAGGATGGACACGAAGGCGATGCACTTTCCATGGGTGACCTGCGTTGCGCGCTGGTCCGCCGTGTAGCTGGCGACCGTCACCTATATCGTTCGTTACAAAATTCAGATAGTCAGAGGTAGGTGATGATGATGATGAACAGAGAGTGCATGATGATGATTGATCATTCGGTTACAAAATCGAGGGAACAAAATCAAGAACGCATCAATGCAACTACATATAGATGGTGAACAGAGGGTGCGTTACGTGCCATGAAGAGGTAGGTGAGGAGGATCCATGGTGTGGCGTTCTTCTGGACAAAGATGAAGTGGAGGACGAATCCGACCAGGGAGAGCTGGAGGAAGGAGCACGCGACGGCGTAGTGCATCTCGGCCTCGATCCCCAGGCGCTGCGTGAAGCTGAGCATGACGGCCAGGGCGACCACGGCGGTGGCAGCGGCCGGCTTGAGCATGCCCACCAGGACGTCTCGCCAGAAGCCTGGCTCCCCCAGGTCCGGCGGCGCCATCTGCTCCAGCGACGCCCTCGCGTGCTCCATCGCTCCACCTCAGGTACCACAGCCAAGCACCTCGCTCCCCATCAATGTTTTATTTTATAGAAAGTGAAGATACGGGCGGACAGGCGGACAGCTAGCTGCTGCGTGTTCGACATGAAATCGTTTCATGAACACAAAAGCTATCCTTCGCCCGTGTAAAACGTTTGGGTCTGTCACATGAATTTTTTTGGCCGTCGGATTTGAGTTTTGATCGATCTGCGTCATCCGTCTCGCGCTCCCTCTTGGGTCTGTCCTCTCCGTTTTTTGGTCGCCGACACTTAGGTCCCACCTGTCACCTTGTTTTTGGGAAACGCGCATTTATCCCTTTTGAACTGTTCACTTCCTTTCCCATTCGTCTTCGCTTCCTCAGTTCAGAATCACGGACCTGCCGCAGGGGCTGGTGGACGATGGCAAGGCGTGCCAGGGCATCATCTGCGTGGCTGCCCGGATGCCGGACGCCCGCGGCATCCTCATCAACTCCTTCGAGTCGCTGGAGCCGTGCGCGATGCGGGCGCTTAGGGACGGGCTGTGCGTGCCAGACCACCCCACGCCGCCGGTCTCCTGCGTCGGGCCGCTGGTCTCGCCCGGCGGCGACAAGGACCACGACTGCCTCCGCTGGCTAGACGCGCAGCCGGACCGCAGCGTCGTGTTCCTCTGCGTCGTGGATTTTGCCATAGGTGGTGAGTGTTTCTTCTAGCTTTTGATTAGATGTTGTAGATCCCGTCGTCGTCGACCTGATTTTGGTTGGATTTTTGCCGTTTTGATCTTTTCTTTGTTGTTTTGTGTTGGGGAGGCGGAATCGGAGGCCGAGGCGGAGGGGATTTCCTTCGTCGATTTGCGTCGCTGGTGAGTTTTTTTCATGGCCGAGGCGAAGGCGGAGGCGGAGGTCATGGCCGAGGCGGAGGTGGTGCCGGAGGCGGACCTGTAGGCTGTAGCAGACCCCTGGGTTGAGTTGGAGTCGCAGTCTTCTCCATCTTTGATTTGTTTCATCAGTGAGTTTTTCTTTCAGTTCATGTTTAGAAATTGTAGATCCGATTGGTGGTGTTGTGATATTTGTTGTTTGTTCCTGATTCGTGTATGTCCATGAGGTTTAGTCTTAGGCGTCGTATTTTTGTTTGTTGATGATGTTTGTTGTAGTTTGAATATGATTGTGTGTAGATGGACATGTTCTAGTACTTAGCCATGGGAAACTTTGTCAGGACACCGATAATTAGGGATATGAACTGCTCGGTGTGGTTTGTTTGTAAATTGTTTCTTCTATAGGTGTTATAGAAGTTGAGGCACAACATGATTTCTATCATTTTGATTTCTCTGGAATTATGTCCTGACTGCAACTGGAATTCTAGCCCAGTTTTGTATGTTTCATTTTCTGATTGTCTTATTTTGGTGCATTGTGTCGTGTCAGTGGATGCATTCTAAGTAACTGGAGGTGATTTGCCATGGTTACTAGATTCTTGTTGATGATTATTTATGTAGTGTTGTCATCATTTCCTTTGTTCTTTTGCTTGTTGTTGTATTTGTAATTTTTTGTTCGTAGGTGGAACCTATTTTTTATATTCTTTTTTTTGTTCTTATTGTTTACCTTTTGCTTGGTTTGTTTATTGTAGTCATCATTTTTTGATGCTCTTGTTTGATTATTTTTTTCTCTAGTTGCTCAAAATGCATTTGGGGTGACATTGGTTGATTTTGACAATGATTAGGTAATTTTCAAACTAAGGGATGCAATGTAGATACTGATGATTAAAGGCCATGGTGATTATTATTATGATGAAAGAGTAAGTTTGGTGGCTTTCTCATTATTTTTTATTAGCATTAATAATTATGTACCTATTATTATTTCTTAATTTTGTAGTTACACTAGGTATTATTGATATATTTAGTACTAAGTTTAAAAAGTTAACTTTCCTTGGCTAGTATTTTTGAATGAACTATGTAATTGTAGTTGCAATCCAAGGAAAATTTACTTTGATATATTTGGTTAAGCATTGTCCTTATATTTTTTTTTGGTTTTGCATTCCTTAAAAAAGTTCTGTCTTTATTGATTTGATTACTTGGGTGACCATTAGGCTCCTATTATCTCTGAAATAATCTTTGTTTTATTTATTCTTATTTTTTTTTCTGGTATGCTGAGACGTAGCTGGATGTGTACGAGGTGGAGGCAGAGTCGTTTTTGTTGTTGATTTGTCTGCGTTGATCTATATTTCAATCAATATTTGGTTACAAGTTGTACATTGCCTGCCAGTTTTCTTTTTTCCTTTTTTGATCTGGTGTTTTTGGATATGTTCAGGCAGGAATATGAGATGCAAGTGATTAATGATGGTCTTTCTGTGTTTTTTGTGATTTTTCAGAAACTGAGGTACTACTCTACTCCTAAATTTTTGTGTTCTAGAGATGTTTGACTTTTATCTTTCTCTGCTTTCTTGACATAGTTTATCCTTTACATTTGGTTGGATGGATTCCAGGTTCTGAAATGTTAGCTTCCTGATTTTATGTATTATTTGAAATCTTGCTCCATTTATTTTGTTGCTACTTTTCTTGTCATGCCCCTTCTCTTTTGGCTGTTAAAATCTAGATGTTGAGTAGAAATGTTTTAAATTTTTTTACAGGTTACTTAGGTTTTACTATCATATTACTATGGATTCATTTTGTAGTTACAGTAGAGTTTAACAACACTTACAATTGTTGGGCTGGTGTAATTGGTAGGCATTATTGATGTAACTAGTATGAAGTTTATTTATTTTTGATATTTTTGGTTCATGCAATTCAGTTTGAATATTCATGCTGAATTTAGCTTGTTTTTGTATATGTTTTTCTGGTACGCGGAGGCGGAGTCGTTTTCGACGTCTTGGTCCTTTGTTTTGTGGTTGTTCGAGCGGAGGCTGAGATGGAGGCCCTTGTTGATGGTATTTCTGCATCGTTGGTGAGTATTCCATTTCAGTTTTCCATAGTTGTATGTTTGATTTGTCTTTGCTCGATAGTTGTTGCTGTTGTTCAGCTTGCTTGTGTAGTATTGTAGTTTCTTTGCAGCTTGCTTTTGTTATTTGTGAGTAGTCTTTCACTGTGGCAAATATAGGTACTCAATCACTCATATTTTAATTTTGGGAGTAGAGCAATAACTCTAGTCTATATCATTTTCCATGATTTGATCTCAAATTTTTTTCGTCAGGTGTGATATATTGGCTCCAATTGTCCTTCTCCCTCAGTATGTATGGAGGCTCTCACTTACAAATCTAAGATAGTGCTCTACTATGAATTAATTTTGTTCTTACACTAGAGTTGAACTATAGTTACAGTCGTTAAAACGGTGTAATTCCAAGGTATTATTGATGTATCTAATACTAGAGTTCAAGTATACTTATAGTTGTTAATCAGGTGTATTTGCTAGGTATTAGTGATGTATCTGATATTAATTTAAAAAGTTTATTTGGCTGTTTGTTGGCTCATAGTTTCAATGGACTTTTGTTCATTTTGATTTGTTTGTGTGAGCCCTTATAATCTCTTTGGCTTTGCAAATCATAGAAAATTTCTGGTTCTTTGTATTTTGTTATTTACTTTGATTTGTTTGGTTCAAGCACTGTCCTTAGATTTTTTTTGGTTTTTGCAATCCATAGAAAATTTCTGTTTTTTTGTATTTTGTTTATTTACTTTTGATATTTTTGGTTCATGCAGTTCAATTTGAATATTCATTGTGAATTTAGCTTGTTTTTGTATATGTTTTTCTGGTATGCGGAGGTGGAGCCGGAGGTGGAGTCGTTTCGACGTGTTGGTCCTTTGTTTTGTGGATGTTCGGGCGAAGGCCGAGACGGAGGCCCTTGCTGATGGTATTTCTATGTCGTTAGTGAGTGTCGGGAATCAATACTAGGGTTCTCGAAGAGGAGAGGCTAATGGTCGTCAACATTAATTCATCCGAGCAGTCAAGAGCGTAACTACGGCTCCAACCGGCCCCTAGGTGCTCGGGCTCTGCCTCGACCGACCTCTGGGGAGTCCCTGGGGGCGGGCTCCGCCTCGACCGACATCGAAGCCGCGGGCTCCACCTCACCGACCCTAAGGTCACGGGCTCCGCCACGCCCGACCTCTGGGGGAAGGGCTCCGCCTCGTCCGACCCCAAGGCCACGGGCTCCGCCTCGCCGGACCTCTAGGGGCGGGCTCTGCCTAGCCCAACACCGAGGCCGCTGGCTCCGCCTCGTCCGACCTCAAGGCGCGGGCTCCGCCTCGCCCGACCCCTAGAGGCGGGCTCCGTCTCGCCCGACACCGAGGTCGTGGGCTCCGTCTCGCCCGACGGGGTCCCATACCGCCGCCAACCACTCCTGGTCCAGGCGTATGGGCCTGGGTCAAAACTCTAACACCAGGGAAGAGACTGGCACGCCTCGATGTAACCCGCGACCACGATGGGCCATACCTAAGGATTCACATACAGCGTCGGGCGTACCGGTACTGTTCTGCCTAACCCTCGTACGAACACTGACAAGCGTGTCAGTTCACCACGATGTCCGCCAGGCGGAGTGGAGCGCCATGACCGGCAGACGACGCCTGCGCATGGCGCAACATGGCGCCGTCTCTGTTGACATCTACAGGGTCGGTGGGACCCGCATGAAGGAGAAGAAGGGCCCGGCGATCCTGAAGGCCTTCGGCTCTCTCTCGTTCTTCTCTTTCCCTCCACTGTAACCCGTGCTTTCTCTTGGCCTATAAAACAGAAAGCAGGGCGTCCTATGAGAGGCATCTGACCAACAAACCCATCGAACCCCGAACCACGAGATAACAAACATACGAGTGCACGGCTGAGCAGCGACCGAGCTCTCAGCACCTGTTCATTCTTCCCACCAAAGACTTGGGACTTGTCCCTTTCTCGCCCGTTTGTAACCCCTACTATAAACTTTCGGTGCTAGTAACACAAGCAGCGGCGACGAACTGGACGTAGGGACATTCTACCCGAACCAGTATAAACCTCGTATCCTCTAAGCACACCATCCTAACCAGACACACAATACTAGAAATTTACTCAT